TATAAGAGCACAGTACAAGCTGAAGGCGCGGATTACCTGTAGATCTGCTCATACGATAGTATTAAGGTATTCTATAAGAGCACAGTACATGCTGAAGGCGCGGATTGCCTGTAGATCTGCTCATACCATAGTATTAAGGTATTCTATAAGAGTACAGTACAAGCTGAAGGCGCGGATTGCCTGTAGATCTGCACATACGATAGTATTAAGGTATTCTATAAGAGCACAGTACATGCTGAAGGCGCGGATTACCTGTAGATCTGCTCATACCATAGTATTAAGGTATTCTATAAGAGCACAATACAAGCTGAAGGCGCGGATTGCCTGTAGATCTGCACATACGATAGTATTAAGGTATTCTATAAGAGCACAGTACAAGCTGAAGGCGCGGATTACCTGTAGATCTGCTCATACCATAGTATTAAGGTATTCTATAAGAGCACAATACAAGCTGAAGGCGCGGATTACCTGTAGATCTGCACATACGATAGTATTAAGGTATTCTATAAGAGCACAGTACAAGCTGAAGGCGCGGATTGCCTGTAGATCTGCACATACGATAGTATTAAGGTATTCTATAAGAGCACAGTACAGGCTGAAGGCGCGGATTACCTGTAGATCTGCTCATACGATAGTATTAAGGTATTCTATAAGAGCACAGTACATGCTGAAGGCACGGATTGCCTGTAGATCTGCACATACGATAGTATTAAGGTATTCTATAAGAGCACAGTACAGGCTGAAGGCGCGGATTACCTGTAGATCTGCTCATACGATAGTATTAAGGTATTCTATAAGAGCACAGTGTTAAGACACCTCCAGTGTCTTTAGGCAAAACCGCCGTTTAGTAGACCTTCCCCGGCTGCAGTACAGTTTCCGTTCGCTTAATCTGTAATATACGAACCAAATGCAGGGGAAGCGGCAATCTCCCGATCGAGATCCGTGAACGGCTCCAAACTCACGAACGGCAATACACGAACTGCTGGTAACCGAACAGCAATATCCCCAAGCGGCTTCCGTTCCATCCAGCAGTCTCTAAACGTGAAGAAGAAATCCCCCCAATAACGAGACAGAAGCTCCGCATTGAGGGTCAAACAGGATCTGGCTTTACTGTGGGCTACCTGCCGTATTTATGCAGGTCTCCCACTTGGTGGACACTCCCCTAGGGGACCAAATGGGAGACTGGAATTACAGATAGACATGGGGACATTCCAGACATACAGTTACAGATTTTACCCACAGTGCATTATGATTCCCTCCCCTCTGTCCTGGAGTTAATTACCAAGTAACTCAATTAACTCCAGAACAAAGCCAGTCGCCATTTTAAATATAAAATCACAAAAGACATAAAAATATATAACTTCACAAAAACTGAACATTTCCCATTCGTATTACATATCCCCGATAGCCTGGATCTGAGTGCATATTATTAGCGAATAGCGCTCAGATCCCACACACATAGTTCAATCGCCATGGAGTCAAAGTTCTTACAGTCTTTCGGTATACGAATGACTCCATGGGAAGGCTATCTGGGTTAAGTCTTTTCGTATGCTCAAAAACTCCCAAACGGCCGGTGTTCGTATGGTTTCGTGGAGGCAGCCAGTTGTTCCGTTGTTTCAGCGGTGTTCGGCAGAAAAAGTGTCCGTTTTTAGTTCCACAGAAATAGAGCCAAACACCGCTGGGCGTTCGCTTGGTTTAAAATGGCCGCTGCCTCGTGGTCGATATACGAACGACGACCACCCTGAATTCGGTTTAATTGAGAAGTGTCTGCGGTTAACCACAACGTTCTAATTGGGATCAATAGGTTAACCGAAAGCGTTAACACTTCCCGGCACGTCGCACGCAAAGCCTTGTTCGAAAAGAATTGGTCCAATGGCTGGGCTATGGAAACCAGCCATTCATACGAACGGGAGACAAACAGACGAATTCCATTAAAATACAAGCAGACAGATGGTTCTGTCACACACAATACAGGCTGAAGGCGCGGATTACCTGTAGATCTGCTCATACGATAGTATTAAGGTATTCTATAAGAGCACAGTACATGCTGAAGGCGCGGATTACCTGTAGATCTGCTCATACCATAGTATTAAGGTATTCTATAAGAGCACAATACAAGCTGAAGGCGCGGATTACCTGTAGATCTGCACATACGATAGTATTAAGGTATTCTATAAGAGCACAGTACAAGCTGAAGGCGCGGATTGCCTGTAGATCTGCACATACGATAGTATTAAGGTATTCTATAAGAGCACAGTACAGGCTGAAGGCGCGGATTACCTGTAGATCTGCACATACCATAGTATTAAGGTATTCTATAAGAGCACAGTACAAGCTGAAGGCGCGGATTGCCTGTAGATCTGCACATACCATAGTATTAAGGTATTCTATAAGAGCACAGTACAGGCTGAAGGCGCGGATTGCCTGTAGATCTGCTCATACGATAGTATTAAGGTATTCTTTAAGAGCACAGTACAAGCTGAAGGCGCGGATTGCCTGTAGATCTGCTCATACCATAGTATTAAGGTATTCTATAAGAGCACAGTACAGGCTGAAGGAGCGGATTACCTGTAGATCTGCACATACGATAGTATTAAGGTATTCTATAAGAGCACAGTACAAGCTGAAGGCGCGGATTACCTGTAGATCTGCACATACGATAGTATTAAGGTATTCTATAAGAGCACAGTACAAGCTGAAGGCGCGGATTACCTGTAGATCTGCACATACGATAGTATTAAGGTATTCTATAAGAGCACAGTACAGGCTGAAGGCGCGGATTGCCTGTAGATCTGCTCATACGATAGTATTAAGGTATTCTATAAGAGCACAGTACAGGCTGAAGGCGCGGATTGCCTGTAGATCTGCACATACGATAGTATTAAGGTATTCTATAAGAGCACAGTACAGGCTGAAGGCGCGGATTACCTGTAGATCTGCTCATACGATAGTATTAAGGTATTCTATAAGAGCACAATACAGGCTGAAGGCGCGGATTACCTGTAGATCTGCACATACGATAGTATTAAGGTATTCTATAAGAGCACAGTACAGGCTGAAGGCGCGGATTACCTGTAGATCTGCTCATACGATAGTATTAAGGTATTCTATAAGAGCACAGTACAGGCTGAAGGCGCGGATTACCTGTAGATCTGCTCATACGATAGTATTAAGGTATTCTATAAGAGCACAGTACATGCTGAAGGCGCGGATTACCTGTAGATCTGCTCATACGATATTGGGATGTATTCCCCGGGACTCTGCGTTAACAGCTGATCGATGGCACTTTCCAACTTGGGCCAGTATGTGCTCCGGTAATCATCGACCGTGATAACGTTCATTACTGAAAGGCAGAAAAAGAGATTATTTACATTAAAAGTCCCCAATCAGTGATAAAGGGAGACAGACGGAAAATATATCCCTTGCTCATATCGAGAACATGATGGAACACAGGGATTTCCTTACAAACCATTAATAGCACTGGTTTGTTTTATCAAGGAAACACTGCACGATATAGGACACTAGCCGTCATTCCTTACTCATGTAACCCTGCTTTAAAACAGGTAGAAAAGGCAGTGCTTACACTGAAAGGCTGCACGGACAGGCTATAGACACCAGACACATCAAGCTGTAGTGGTTCTGGTGACTATAGTGTCCCTTTAAGAATTGCGTTTTTCTCATTGAAAATGACTGGCTCCTAACTGACTTTTTAGCTGCTTTTTAGATTCCAAACAAATTTATCAAGTCCTGAAATAAATTATCCAGGTGCTTAATCCAGACCCTATTGTTATTCTCCATCCATGTAGCAACAAGCCTGCTGGACCTTGCATCCAATTTCCTTTTCTACAAGAAAAAATAAATAAAAAGTGTCCGCCTTTGTGATATACACCCACTCCAACAAGATATGAGATGCTGCCTCTTCCTTCCCAATCTCTGGAATGTGTCTCTTATTGCCCCCAATATTCCCTGCGCAGCGCACACTAGCCCCAAGA